CACTGATGAATTTGTGTAATGTACACAAATTTTCTGTATATGGGTAAAAACTGCAAAGACCAAAACAGTGTAAAATTGCATACACGTCCTCCATAATGAACACATAATGGCCTATTTCACACAAGCTTCAGCTTGTATTACAGCAGTGTGAACCTCAAGCTTTTACAAAGCATTTCCAGAGCTATTAGCAAGCTATTTAAGCATTATGTGGTGAAGGTCCTGAGAGACAGAGAATGGGAATCCCTGCTGAATTGCATCTTTAGAGTCATAGCTGCAGGGACTTCAGACCAGAAGAGATCGAACCTGGATGGCAAGCTGTAGGAAATCAACAGGTAAAGCGTTTAAATGGATGATAGATAACCTGTTCATGGGTAGGACAGAAAAATGACCAACAGGCATGGCTGGGGCAAATTTATAGATAACCTGTCCTATGGGGTTAAAGGACAGAGCATTAACTTATTATGTACTGCCATGATGCTCCAGGACACTAGTTTACCTAAACTAGGCTTATAATACCAAATATGTTATGTATGCAAGTATCTATCCAAGTATCGCTAGTCATACCGGCTAACATAAGGTCTTACAAATGAACAATGATGTTGATTTCATCATAACTCTCCATCTTCTATAATTTTGTAGCTCACAAAAAATCTGAACCAGCAGCAGTTAGTAATGAATAGGAGAAAGGTCTTTAGGTCTGGTTATAAATTCCTATAGAAGACCTGGGAGAATTGGCCTAAGACACAATTGCAAAGCAATATATGCAATATAGGCATTCAAGGCTGAAGGTTGGCTAATTTGTGATATCTTTTATCATCTCTGTCATTTTCTAGCATCCAATTGTGCCACAGTTCTATGGTTAGCCCAAACTCTAACTCCAGTTATAGGTTCTATGCACAAAAAACACAAGTTCCCTTGGCAGAAAAAAAGGCTCAGAGTGTTTCTGTACAGGTGTTTAGGAGCACTTAGGAGTGTTTAGAATCATTTGGCATCTTTTTTTTTTTCTGCTAGAAAACTGCTCTCAAAAATTCAAACCAGAAGGGTTATCTTTTCTGCCTCTAAACACTGAGCTTAAAAAATGCCTCTGAAAGTCCTGATGTGCATGGACACAGAATAACATTGAGCTGCTACTACAGGCAAAACACAAAACTCCTGTAGAAGCAGCTTTTTTAAGCTCAGTGTGCATGGACCCTTACTTGACTTTTCAGGATAAATACAGTTTAAAATGTAAATAACTGACCAATCACCAATATCATATACCAATATTATCACCAATACAAAAGTGTTCCTCATATTTGTGCACTTTTATAGTCTTAAAAAATGTACTTTCCCTTAGAACTTTGTATTTGCTTTTCATACCTGTAAGATTTTTAAGCACATTTTATCCATGGTGACTGCTAAACAATCAGACATTTATACCCTTCTTTTCCTTCCATAGTAGAGCAACTTCTAGAACTGCTCCTAAGTATGGGTGGACCTAAGGATAGGTGACGTTTACATTAAGGGAATGTAGAATGTTTTTGCACATGTTTTCTTTATTTATAAATGCAATTCTTAATAAAATCTACAAATCTATTTGGTTTCTCATGTATTAGTTAAATATTAAATATTGCATGTGATTTTTTCTGAGTTACCATTACTGGCTGTATAGTTAACTCTCAAACACTCTCATTCAATCTCTTATGTTTAACTACATAAAAATAAAACTAGATTTTAAAATTTATATTAAGAAATCAGATGAAACTCAGGAGTCTGCTGATGTCAGGTTTTCTGCAGTACTTTAAGTAAAACTCCAATCAAACATGAAATGCATAGACCACATTTCCTTTCAAAGGATGTGCAATTTTGTGATACACATACCTCTTTTTGTCAGTGAAAACAGTCTGCTACTTCTTGGTTTAGTATTACTGTTTCTGGGACAGCTTTACTGCTGTCTAAAATGTAGAGGTGATATATGTATGTAGCTGGATTACTGAAACTCAAGATTTTTTTTTTGTTAATCAGAAATAATATATGTCACCTGAATGACAACACTGTGTGAAAACAATGTGTACTTCACACCATTGGCTATATAAAATGACCAGTGCATTTGGCCACTGGTAACCATTCATGTAAAGTATTTAACATTCATGTATTTGCATTCATGCTTTCTGAAAAATTTCCTTTACTTCCATGCTGTGTAATTAGTATAATATGATCCCCTGCTAGTTAAAAGCATGCATATGGCTTAATAAGTCAGAGACAGGACACAGCTACTCCCTGTTAGGTCATATACTTCTGTATAGTGTATAAATTATAAAAAGAAAGGTACCTGTATGTAGATGGGGCATTCATTATATGGTGTTAAAGTTCATGAGCAACATTGAAGAGGCTGAGCTGCCAGCTGCCATGCTGAGAACAACTCATTTAATTTTATCTAACAAAGAACAGCAAGCATGGCCTGTGATAGATCATATGGGAAAATAGCAGAACCTTTGATAAATGACTAAACCTCCCACAGTAAAACCATCTTGGAAAGCCTAGTAGGGAGATTATGGAATATAGGCATGGGCGTAGCATCAGGGGTCTCGGGTCACATTTGTGACCCCGCTCTTGGTCCAGGGGGGCCCGTGCTGTCTACCTGTCACTATCATGGGCAAAGAGGAATCCAAAGCAAAGCAGAAGCTTTGTGCTTTTGGCTCCATTTCGAGTCCTGAGTCAGAGACAATCAGAGGAAGGATGCGGTGTGGCCAGCCCTGCTGGATGGGAAAGTGTCAGTGCTGACAACCAGGAGGGGATTGACACCTAGCTGTCACCAGGCTGAGCGAGGGAGGAGAATGAGAGCACCATCCAGGAGCTGCTACTGCTGTCATTGGGGAGATAAAAAAGATACCGGTCAGATCCATGCAGAGAACAGACACACACTGCCCCACCCCTTCCCACAACTCCTGCAGACACTCACACAAAAATTCTCACAAAATCTCGTAACACCTCCTGAGAGGCCTCCGAGGGACTGCAGGCTCCAGAGGCTTCAGATTTTACTGCGACAGTTTGAGCAGGATGAGCAGAGGGGGAGCTGGATAGGGAATCTCATTTTCAGCATAGAGAGTGGGGGGGGGGATAATGTGACATTACTAGGATGGTGAGGGGGATCAGTAATTACCTGGGGGGCCATGTGTTATTACTAGGAGGAGGGCAACTGAAGGTGGGGGGGTCATCTATCATGTCCTGGTGAACAAGGAGGTCGTCTGTCATTACCTGGTGGGGGAGGGGGTAAACTGTCATTACCTGGTGGGGGAGAGGGTCTCTGTCATTACCTGGTGAGGGGAGGGGGTCATCACTACCTGGTGGAGGAGGGGGTTAATCTGTCATTACCTGGTGGGGTAGAGGGGAGTAATCTGTCTTTAACTGGTGGGGGGTCATCTGTCATTACCTGGGGGGGGGGCATCTGTCATTACCTGGTGGGGGAGGGGTCATCTGTCATTACCTGGTGGGGTAGTGGGGGTCATATGTCAATGTCTAAGGGGTCATCTGTCATTACCTGGTGGGGAAGGTGGGTCATCTGTCAGTACCTGGTGGGGGGAGAGGGGTATCATCTGTCATTACATAGTGTGGGAGGGGGTCATCTGTCGTTAACTGGGGGGGTCATCTGTCATTACCTGGTGGGGGAGGGGTTCATCTGTCATTACCTGGTGGGGGGAGGAGGGGTCATCTGTTATTACCTGGTGGGGGAAAAGAGGCCATCTGTCATTATCTGTTGGGATGAGAGAGGTAATTTGTCATTACAAGGTGGGGGGGTGGCATCTGTCATTTCCTGGTGGGGGGAGGGGGTCATCAGTTATTACCTGGTGGGGGGACATGTGTCATTACCAGGAGAGGAAGTCATCTGTCTTTACAGGAGGAGGGGGTCATCTATTATTAGCTGAAGTGGTGGCTCTTGAAGAAGTGGTCATCTGTCAATACCAAGAATAGGCATGAGGGCATGTGTCATTACCAGGAAGGAGGGTGTTACTTTTCCCTAATATCCTGCACCTCCATATCACTGCAGCCTGGCCATGAGAGAGGTAACTGGGTGCTGTTTAATAACAAATAAAAGAACAGGTTTAAAAAAAATAAAAAGTGTGATAAATGCAGTGGCACACTCTCTGACCCCACCCAGCCCAGTACAGTACTCCCCTCCTGCCTCTGCTCAGCCCTGCACATGCACACAAGGTGTAAGAAGGCAGATCACACAGTGAGCTGCTCGGTGAAAGCGGTTGACTTGTATGTGGATCTGGAAGTCAGAGGGTCTGATAAGTTTCCTCTTTTACATACAAATGTACTGCTTTCACTCGACAGTACAGAGGGTGGACTGCCTGCCCCTTCCTTGTGTGCACATGCAGACGGCAGCAGGGGAGAGAGAAGAGAGATACAGCCACCATACAGCTATCATATCTTGGCCCTCGGTGGGAACATCTTAGCACACAAAGGAAGATAGTGGGGGGCCCCAGGTCAACTTTTGCATCGATGCCCACAAGTTTCAAGCTATGCCTCTGTTTAGAGGGTAAAAAATGGACTGTTGTTTTTTATAAATTGAGGTAAAATAGCGACATTAACTCATTCTTCTTTCTCTTTTGTATATTTTTTCCCTTTATTAATTTTTAAAGGCTCTTGCTGAGAGGAACATCAAATGAGGCGCTAGTATTTTAAGTGGACTATAGAAAGAGCTGGCTTGTAAAGTGATTGTTATGGAAGTAACTTCTAGAAGTCTCTTGTATGTACCCTTAATCTCAGACCATGTCCTATAGCAGCCTCTGACCTCCTATTATTACATGTTCAGTCTCTGACCAATTTTCTGTAGCATTACATACATTCTGCATTATGTGCAGCTACTTTTTTATGTCAGGGGCAGCACTTATATCAAACAAGCTTACCATCACTCCTATAAAGGCACACACAATTTTAAAACAATTTGGTATATAAAATTAAATATGTGTTTTACCTCAAGAATGATTAAATTCCTTTCTTTACTGTTACTACAGAACTCCAAAGAAATCCTTGGAAGACTGTCAGGTCAATATGCGATCATTGAGAGCAAAAAGAACCCAGTTCTCCAGTCTGCTTCCCCGAAGGAGAGTGAGAAGGTTAATGAAAAACTGGCTGAGCTTTCATTCAACTGGGACAATGTCAACAAGCTATATAAAAAACGGCAAGAGTAAGTCACTATTTCATTGCACAATTATGCAATATACTCATTTTTGATAACAGTATTCCTTTTCTTGTTTACTCGCTTCCTTTACCAGCCAACATAGAAAAACTTCTCTTTTGGTTAAAAGCAATGCATTGTGAGGCACTGAGGAATAAATTGACATCACAAATGTTTGTGTTTAACACTGCTAATAGAAATGCACAGGAAAGAGGTGTATTGTTTCTACTACAACACCATCGAGTACTGTCCATGATACATTTTTATTTTCACTAATAGCTACATTTTCAGGCTAAGCTTCAGAGAGATGGTCAGATAAGGAGTAAAGAAGGGGGCTTTGGAATGAAAGAGAGGGTAGAGAGAGTCACAAAGGTGAGAACAGTAAAACAAAAATGTTTGATAGTGATGTAGAAAACTGAGGTTCACATTCAGTCTGTTATTTTTTGTGTCAAACAGAATTATGTTTTCCTTTTCTGTGTATTTTAAGAGGCAAGACCCCAAAAATGTGCCCTAAAAATGTAAATGCCAGTGAAAAAAAAAATAAATAAATACATAAATACATAAAATACTATCAATAACAGTACTCAACTCTTAAGCATGTTCCTACTACCTAATCTCTGAAATTCATTAATATTGTATTGTTTAGAAACCAGTTTTGCAGTAGTCTGACAAATGGCAAAACTTGCAATAGATTTATTTACATGATGGTAAGGTGTATAGGAATCTGTCACAACTCTGACAGAACTTTCAAAAGCATCTGTTCTGTGTAGTGGTGGAATTTTACAGGAATCTATTTGGAGAAGTTTTGGGAACAATGGAAAAATATCAAATATTAGTTCAAGATGAACATAAAGCGAAGTTCCACTCAAAAGCTGAAGCTCTGCATATTTTTCTCCTCCCCCCCTCTACTGCCATATTTGGCACCCTTTGGGGGCGAGGGGGGAGCGTATACTTGTTTTTGACAGGTACCCACTCCCACTTCCTGCTCAGTTCGCCGCGGCAAAGTGAGCCAGTAGTTCGGCCCCCTCCTCCGTCCCAAAGTCTCCTGGGAACTTTCACAGGTCCCAGGAGACTGCTGGACCAATTAGGATGTGCAGCACTATATATAGACAAAAAGGTGCAGCGCTAATAATGAAAAGGTGAAATGTCAGCATACACTCAATTATAGGAGTAGAAAAAATGAGGACATGAGATCATATATTCGTCACAAATATAAGTTCGATGTTCAATCTAGTGTCCACAAACATGTAAAAGGATGTGATGTGCCAATTCTGACAGATCTCCTTTACAAATCAGGGTGAATGATCCAAGAGTGAGCAGGAAATAAATTAAATGCGCACTCACTAGAAGTGCGTTTAAAATACGCATGAAAGAAGTTTCCTCTCTCCAGGTACATCTAGGTTCTCCACACTCAGGTAAAGCTGCGCTCCCTAGTTCTCACTGGTCATCCATCCTGGTCAGGTTCCATGGTGCATCAGACATTCACACACCTCTGGAGTCCCTCCTTAAACTTGGTACTGTGAAAGGGTGGCGCTCATAAAGAGCCATTCTGCACTGTTTCCAGGAAAACTGGATCCGGATCACAGCGCAGCGCGGGCCCCCCGTGGCCGGAGATATGCCGGAGAAGTTGTAGGGAACTGAAAGAAGAAGGATGTGCAGCACTACTCGAGCATGTGCAGTGGGCACCTGGCTGTGAAGCCACAAGCTGTCACAGCCTGGTGCCCACAGTTGAGATGCTGGTGTCGTGGTGGAGGGAAGGGGAGAAGGAACATTGCTGGACCCTGGGACAGGTAAGTGGGTGTTTATTAAATGTCAACAGCTACAGTTTTCATAGCTGCTGACTTTTAATAAACACGAAAATGGCCGGAACCCTGCTAAAAAAAGAAATTAATTGTCTCAAAGATGCAACACAATATTTATACACGGGAAACATTCAACAATTTACTCCAACATGGATGAGGTCTTAACTAATAGAATTTGTTGCATGCATAGGCACAAATAATGAAAATGTTGCAAGGTTTTCATGAATTAGGCTTCAAACTGTATGCACACCACCAGAAATGTGTGACAAATTCCTTATTACATTCATTTAAACATGCATCCAAGCATTTGCACATTCCTAGTCATATGTGAATTTCCCTGCCCTTTCATATAGGATATATCAAAATTTTGCCATAAGTCAGAAGCTTCTGCTCTGTTTAAGAGTGTTCAAGGTCTAGTCGGAGCTTTTCTGGCTTCTATAAGCTTTTCTGGTAGAAAACACAAATGTCCACTGTTTAAATCTTTGATTTGGGCTCCTGTAATGCACTGTTCTAAACTAGATAAAGTTACTTACCTACAAAAACACAGAAGTTTACTGACTTATTATTATTATTATTATTACATCGAGTTTATATAGCGCCAAAGGGTTTACTCAGCACTGTGTTAAACTTTAAGCAGTAACACATAAACCCGACACGTAATTGAAAAGTGAGTCCTTCATTTCTAAACTGAGCCTTTAACCGTGGTTGTGTCTTCTCTCCTTACTTCTATTTACATGTTCCACCCATTTTGACTACATTCATGTTGTTTGAATACTGTCATAGAAAATTCAACTTTTATATAAGTACACCATATTTGGTAAAACATATTTGGTAAAACACTGCAATTTTCATACAATTTTTCCCATAAAAGGTATGTATTCCATACATTAAAATCATGTTCCTAAAACTAATTGTTCCCCTAAACTTAAAAATCTTAGAGTCTGCCATAGATGAAGCAAGTTTTCATTCCTGGATTGTAGGAAAAGAAAATTGCTTGATTCCCAAGAAAAGCCGTTGAATACAGTGATTACTGCTAGAGGCTATAATAGCTGCTAGCAATAATCACATGTAAAATCAGACAGGCTGGTTGTACCCAAGTAGATCAATTGATCAACTTGGGTATATTCAGCCTTCCCATACATGGTTCAAATCTTGGCTGGTCCCTACTGAACCGGACCAAGGCTTGAACTGTCTATGGCCGGCTTAACACTTACAATCCCCTTAAATGATCCCCTAAATTGTGATTCTCCTCTTTATCACATTCCTATACATTTAATCCTGTAAACCCAACTTCAGCCAAAATGTTTTTGGCTACAGTATGTTAGAGATCTTGTCTGGTCCTGCCAAGAAGATTTTCTTTCACTTTCTATTCCTGTAACACCCATAGAAGAAATGTGCATGCCCCCTTGAACAGCATGATGAAGTGAAGGGAAATCTCTGCAACAGAAACACAGATAAAAAGAAAGCCACATTTTGAGTTTAGTGAGGAAGGGTAAGAGCTTCTGGCAATGTTCTTTTCCTGTATATGCCTTCCTGTTGGGTGACAACTGCATTTCTGAATAAAAAAAATATATAAATTTTGCCTGTGTTAAATTTTAAGCAGTAACACATAAACCCGATACATAATTGAAAAGTGAGTCCTTCATTTCTAAACTGAGCCTTTAACCGTGGTTGTGTCTTCTCTCCTTACTTCTCCTGATCAATCACAAAAGGAAGCCTGAGGCTACTTGCTTTTGATTAACCAAGAAGAGAAGAGGTTGAAGGCATGCCCACAGTGCTTACATCAGTAGAGGGGCCACAAATACAATGATAGTTGTAAAGTACTAATCAAACATGAAAAACAAACCTTTTTTAACACACTGAAGACAGACTGCATAAATGGAGGTTTGCAAGTGAGGTTAAGGCATAGTTATTGCTCTAAACTTGAAAGGTTCTCATGACTGGAGTTGGCTTTAACTCATAAGAATAAGCTAACCCTCTACTAGAGTTTGATTATCAAATCCTGTGCCAAAACCAAGTAGATCTTACAATAAAACCTAACCATGTCTGACTGCAGGGGCAGAAAACAACCTGCTATTAGTGGCAGGGGAACATATGCCTTTTTATTCCTTCATTGAGCTATGTGGCCTTGTAGCCAAGGGGCTGTAGAGAGAGATTAGAGTTTTGTGCTTCCTTACTTGCACAGTCTTACATAGTTTCTCTCTGCGGCACTTGGAACTGCTATAAAACATTTATTTGAATTTTTAAAGTCAAACATAGTTTCAGCAATGAAATTCCTAAGAAGCTATCACTGTATACAAAACAATACATCTTTCTATTTACATTTATTTTTGCAGTGTTCAGATTTAAGTTATCTTCATTAGCTCACTGCTCTGTATTATTTGTGTTCTGATTGTCTGATGCCTTGTGCATTCTCTTTTTAGGCTATATTCATCTCACAATCAGAAATCAGAACTTATTATCCCAAGGGTTCATCTGCAAATTGAAATGCATGCAGTTAATCAGAAAATCTTTTGAATGATTGAGCAAATGTTGTGTTTTGATTAGCATGCATAGTAATCCTGATCTTCACTACAAAATAGCTTGTTCTATGGACAAGGAAATGAACACATCATTCTAGAGATGTTTCCATCAATCCTGACTCAGAGAACTAATGCAGCTCTTGTTAGAATAGACCAGTGAAAGACCAGATTTTGTAAAAGGCACACAGCTGGTTTATGTAATTATTATATTCAAACCCATAAGAATCAATATAGCCGTTAAGTTTTGGCCTTATAAAAACTTCATGTGTTTCTGTTATTTGGATTTTGTATTCATTTTGTGGTAATAATTTAATGATTGAAAGATGCTTACATTACCCACAATAGTTTAGACATCTCAACAGTATGGAGAGGAAAGTTTGTCCTGATCTTACAGTTAAAACTTTTTTGGTGCCAAGAGGCACTACTCATGGGTATATGATTTATCAGGAAAGGAACCAGGTGAATGTGGTGTTTTTTCCATACAAATGACAATTATGGTTTGGTATGCATTTATGTATGCATGGTTCATTTGATACTCTGTTTAGCGCTACCCTTGAAGGAGCCACTGGATTGTTTAGGTCCTTCTGCAGCAGTGAAAACCCGCCACATACCTGGACCCAAGAACACCTCACACCTGAAAACATTTAAATGGACTATATTAATGG